TTTAAAGAAAAGACTGAAATAGATTATATATATATATATATATATATATATATATAGATATCATTAAATATAATAATCACTTTTGGATTCTCCATAAAACTACCTTGCTTCTTGCGCAAGAATTGTCATCATTTAAAACAAAACTGCCTACAAGTACAAGGGGCTGATTCTGTTTAGATTTATGACAACATAATTTGTGGACATTTTGAGAAAGAAAAATTGAAAATGGGTGGTGCCTCTCATATTTTAAAAAATAAATGAACTTAAATTTGAAACATCTTTTCATAATACCCGTATGGTTTAATCCAGGTTGATTATGAGATGGCACTAGAAGAAGACATTCATATATCAGCATAGGAAGGAACCCCCAAGTTCTTGGACTTCCATCACCCTGTTTGTGTCTTTAATCTCTTTATATAGACTTTTGAAATATGATATATTAGAAGTATATTGATTGTTCCCCAATAATTAAAGAATTTTTTCTGTAAATATTGCATATTTGATTCCATCCATACATCTTTTTTCTTCACTATGAGTTCCAATATTGATAAGAATTCTAATTTTTACTATTCATATGTTATGGTGGCTTGCGTAGGCTTCTGGAAGTAGGACTTGCGTACATCAACAGTAATACGATGAAATTAGCCAAAAGGCTTTTGAACGAAAGACTTAGGGCTTGCGTACTTCAGTAATAATACGACGAAATAAGCCAAAAGGCTTTTGAACGAAAGACTAATAAAGGTTGGGCTTGCGTACTTCAGTAGCAATACGACCAAATAAGCCAAAAGGCTTTTGAACGGGACTAATAAAGGGCACGTCGTACCGACCAAAAAACGCTAGTTGATGGTCTCCCCTCGCTAGTTGTTGGGCTGCCCCCTAGCATAGCCTGTGGTAGCGTGTCAAAGCTCTCACTGAAGAGTTTGCTATTCGGAAGCCTCTAATTTTTTATTTTTTTTTTAAATGACTTGAGGCTCATTCTCTAGGTTTTTTTTTTTTTGTCCTTAGAGGTTTAGATCTTTTATTGATGAGATGTGCACATTGCTTTCATTCTTTTGTCGTGTCAAATTTGCAGGATGGATGGACGATCCAGATCCTCTTGTACGAGAGATCTGGGTGGTCTCCCTTAATAGTGGAACTTTGTTAGGTTTATGTGGTCTTTAAAAGCCTTATGAATGTGTATTGAAGTACTTTTATTATAGTGAAACATAAACTTAGTGAGAGTGTGGTACTTCGAGAACCATACTAAGCGAATGATATTTGCTTATACAGGACTGTGCTTATCGATCTAAGCTAGTTGGATAGAAAACCCAAGGTACCTGGGCATAAAGAATTAACCGAGGAGGGTTTTGAGTTAGCCCTTGATGAGGTCGGAGCTTATGCCTAGATGAGTAAGCCGAGGGACTGTGTGACCCTTGTGTGTGATGGTAGGCCTACTGAGACGGGGGCCAAAACCTTATTCATGTTTCATCACACAGTATGCATATCGATAGATCGTTCGGGAAAGCCAGTTATCCACCTTTGGGTGAAGCGTATGCATATGCAAGAGATACCACTATGCACTATAGAGTTGTGGTCGCATCAGGTCATGGCGATCTTGACTTATTTCTAGGGGAGGACCTGTAATCCACAGATTCAGATTGCGACCCCTTGATTCATCAACTTGACTTTGGTAACCCGCTAATGAGCCCCTACTTGGACTGTGGGTCATAGAAAATACTGGGGCGGTTAGATGAAGCTAATGTGGTATGTAGTCCACAGTTGAAGGTGAAATACTCTATTATTACAAATTGAATTCCTAAAACC